GGTATGTGCGCTCAGGAGTCCACCCACTCCTCCTTTATGGATTCAGCTTAGGTGCCCAGGTAGATAGCCACCAAGTGTGTGGTGTATGCTCTTAGTTATAGTCCTAGACAGGCATGGGCAATTGGTGTAGACACAGTCATCTGGCTGCAGCAGAGGGACACACTTTGAGCAAGGCAGAGGTCTGACCGCCGCCCCCAAGTGTCCAGGAGGAAGGCGAGTCCCTGTTCCCTAGAGCACGTAGGCGGGTGGGTTTTGCAGCCGGACTATGAACACCCAATGCTGTTGACTGTAAGGACTGGGGGGGCACCTCTTATTCTTGGGGCCCTATCGCAGGTGAACAGGTGGTATGGGTGGAGCCACCAGTCCTCAGGCCCTTGATATGGGTAGGTGAAAGCTCTGCTTAATGGGCAGAGCAGTGTCAAATGTCAAGAACCTGCCACTTCACAGCTGAAACAGTTGAAGTTACACTTCAGGTATATACCCTGTTGTAGTGCGGTAATGAGGGCCTACACTGTTGAAATAGGCCCACACAAGTCTCTGCAGAAGGAAGAGCACTCAGTCCTTTTATCCCTTATGCCTGTGCCTAGGCAAAGGAGCTATGCCTACCCTGGGTTCATGGATTAGGGGAGCTAGCAGTTTATTTCTTCCTGTTTGTTAATTTGTTCACTCTCCAAGGCCAGGAGGATGGCTCAGGGCATGTGAGAGATTGTACTTCTGGCCCAGGGGACTCAGCAATTGCTGAATCTGGTCTGGGACCCAGTGCAGAGCAGGGAGCAGGGAGGTAAATGGGAGAGAGGTTTTTCCCTAAGGGGGGTGTTTTTTATCCGCGTGGTAGGCCATATGCAAGTACTTATCTTTTGCCTACAAGGGCTGCTTCTCACTGGTTCTGGGTGGCCGTGTAGACTTTCCTGTGCTCGGTATTTCCCAGTGCGGAAAACGCACCTCCCAAGCACAGCTACTTGCCTGCCTCACCACTCACCCATGCGCTGTTGAGGCCTGAAGGGCACAGGCTCTCACTGGGTCAGGTCTGGCAACTCCTCCGCTCCTTCTGAACCGTCTCTCCCTCCCCCTGCCACTCAGTCCAGTTCGTCAACTTTACCTTAGATGTTCAGGGCTCCTAGATTGTCATATATAATTGATTCACGTGTTGTTTTGGGTCTTTGTTGTAAGAGGGTCCACCGGAAGTGTCTGAGTACTCCGCCGTCTTGGCCCCGCCTCCTTCTCTTCTTGTATGATCTTTATGGTTTTATGTTTTACATTTAGGTCTTTGATCCAGCTTGAGTTACTGTTTGTGTAAGATGTGAGGTATGGCTCTTGTTTTATTCTTCTGCAGATGGATATCCAGTTTTGCCAGTATCATTTCTTAAAGAGACTTTCTCTTCCTCGTTTAATAGATTTTGACTCTTTGTCAGAGATTAACTATCCATAGGTGGATGGATTTATTTCTGCGTTCTCAATTCTGTTCCATTGGTCTGTGTGTCTGTTGTTGTACTGGTACCAGGCTATTTTGACTCCCTTGACTGTTTAGTAGGTTCTGAGATCCGGGAGTATGAGGCTTCCTACTTTGTTCTTCTTCTTAAGTAATGTTTTACTTATCCGGGTCCTCTTTCCTTTCCATGTAAAGTTGGCGACTAGGTTTTCTGACTTGTTAAAGAGTATTGTTGGCATTTGGATTGAGATTGCATTATATCTGTAGATCGCTTTGGGTAGTATTATCATTTCCACAAGGTTAGGTCTTCCTGTCCTTGAGCATGGTAAGTTTTTCCATTTATGTAGGTCGCTTGGGTTTCTTGCAGTAGTGTTTTGTAGTTTTTTTGTATAAGTCTTTTACCTCCCTAGTTAGGTTTATTTCCAAGTATTTTATCTTTTGAGGGGCTATTGTAAATAGTATTGTTTTCCTGCTTTCCTTTTCAGAGTTCTCTTGATTGATGTAGAGGAATCTGACTGATTTTGTATGTTAACTTTTTACCCCACCACTTTGCTAAATCATTCTATTAGTTCCAGTAGCTTTCTTATGGCATCTCTGTGATTTTCTATATATAGGACCATGTCATCTGCAAATAGCGATGCTTTTACTTCTTCCTTACCAATTTGGATGCATTTTATTTTTCTTTTTTGCCTTTTTGCTCTAGCTAGGACTTCCAATACAATATTGAATAAAAGTGGTGATAAAGAGCATCCTTGTGTAGTTCTCGTTCTCATGGGGAATGCTTTCAATCTCTCTCCATCGAGAATAATGTTGGCTGTCGGTTTTGTACATATGCCCTTAATTATGTTTAGGAATTTCCCTTCTATTCCTGTTTTGCTGAGAGTTTTTATCAAGAATGGGTGTTGGACTTTATCATATCCTTTTTCTGCATTGATTGAGATGATCATGTGATTCTTTTCCTTTGTTTTATTTATGTGGTGAATTACATTAATTGATTTTCTAATGTTAAACCATCCTTGCATACCTAGTATGAATCCCACGTGGTTGTGGTGTATTATCTTTTTGATATGCTGTTGAATTCTGTTGGCTAAGATTTTGTTAAGAATTTTTGTGTCTGTATTCATAAAGGATATTGGTGTATAATTTTCTTTTTTTAGTGGTGTCTTTGCCTGGCTTTGGTATCAGGGTTATGCTGACTTCATAGAATGAATTTGGGAGTATTCTTCCTTTTTTGGATTCTGGAATAGGTTAAGTAGAATTGATGTCAGCTCTTCTCTGCATGTTTAGTAGAATTCTCCAATGAAGCTGTCTAGGCCGAGGCTTTTTTGGGGGAGTTTTTTGAATTTCTTGTTTTGTTACGGGTCTGTTTAAATTACCTACTTCAGTTTGTATTAGTTAACATAGGTAGTGTGTTTCTAGAAATTTGTCCATTTCTTCTAAATTTTTAAATTTGTTGAAGTATAATTTTTCATAGTATTATGTTATGATCCTTTTTATTTCCGTTGGTTCTGTTGTAATGTTGCCCATCTCATTTGTTATTTTGGTTATTGCATCTTCTCATTCTTTTCCTTTGTCAAGTTGGCCAGAGGTTTGTCTATTTTATTGATTCTCTTGAAGAGCCAACTTCTAATCTTGTTGATTGTTTCTCCTGCTTTTCTGTTTTCTATTTTATTTGTTTTTGCTATAATCTCTGTTATTTCCTCTTTTCTGGTGACTGTGGGCTTCTTGTCCACTTTTCGTAGAAATCCAATTGGCCTGATATTAATTAAATCCAGTTGTTAGGAGTAATATGGCCTAGTTAGATGAAAAAATGTATATGTTTCTTACCCTGAGTGATTAAAACACTCTCTGTGATAGAGCTAAGATTACCTCTCCTCGAACAAACTTTGTCCTTGTGGTTCAGAGCTTCTTGAAGGTCCCTACAGCAAGAATGAGGAAAACACCATCTTTACAGATTGGGCTGATGTGATTTAAAGAAAAGAAAATAGGTCACATATCCGTGGATAACTGATAAAGTAATGTTGGCCAGCATTGTTCAATATTATTAATGAATATTTTGGGGGAAAATGTAAGTATCCATTTCTCTGAGCTTTTAATGATGACTTCTGATAACTACTGTACTTTTTTTCTTTTTAAGGCCAGTAACATTTTTGATTTACAATGATACGCTACCTTCTAATGAAGGAGCTAGAGGTATTGAAAGTCATTATCCGTTAGGGTCACTATGCCTGCCTTTATTATGTTATTGTTAAAATGTTCAAATTTGAAACAGTGTGAATTAAATATATAAAATCTATTATTTTATATTAAAATATTTAATGGGAAAATCTCTGACTAAATCTTTGAAAAATACGTATCCTGTCGGCCATAACTGATTATTTAAACTGGATAGAAATTTCTGTTAAACATATTCTTTTTTTTTTTTTTAACAGATTCTTTTTAATTTCACTGACTTAAATTTATATATGGGTAGTTCTACTCTGTCCTATAGGGTCACTGTGAGTCAGAATCAACTTGACGGCACTGGGTTTGGTTTGGTGGGGTTTTAAATTTATAGACCCCAAACTCTAGAGTATAATTTGTCAGCAGAATTGAAGAGTAAGAAGATATACTTTAAAAAAATTGTAGGAAGGCACGGATTCCTTTTTTTCCTCCTTCTTTCAACACTTTTTTTCCCAGTGTTTTTACTTGTTGTAAATATATAGGTAACACAACATTTGTCTATTCAACATTTTTCACTATTATGCAACCATCATGAACATTCATTGCCGTATTTTCCATCTTCATAAACAGAAACTCAGTGTTAGCTAAACACAGATTCCCCTCTTTCCCCTTCCCTCCTGCCCCAGGTAACCACCCTTAAACTCTGGTCTCTGTACATTTGCCTATTCTAAGTGTTTCATATTGGTGAAATCTTAAGATATATACTATAAATCTTACTATATATTTTTGTCTTTTTTGTAATTAACTTATTTCACTCAGCATGTTTTCAAGGTTCATCCATCTTGTGGCATGTATCAGGACTTCATTTCTTTTTATGCAGAGTAATATTCCATTGTGTGTATATTCTGTATTTTCCTTATCCATTCAGGAATTCATGATATTCGTGGTGGATATTTGGGTTGTTTCTACCTTGGGCTATTGAGAATAGTGCTGCAATGAACAAATGATGCTATCTGTTTGAATTGCAGCTGCTGGGTAAAACATTTCCTTATGTTTTCCTCTAAATTCTCTTAGAAAAGGTATGTTGGAATTGCTCTACAGTGTCTCAAATAATTGAACCTGGCTGTATATGATACCAAAACAAGCAGCTGAGATACTGAATCTGAAATCAGGAGTCCCATGGCTAAAAACTTGTGGCTTATGAAAGAAAATACCCCCAGAATTTTAAGGACTTTAAAATATTTCCACATAAGGCAGTTGGTCCTATGACTCCATGTGGACTGTGGTCTGTGTTGTAGTTCTGGTATTCTTATCACCATTATAGATCTCTTCTTTTTAGTATATTGTAAAATTTATTGAAGCGGCTGTCTTTCAGATGAATAACTAAAAATGCTATGCTTTGTATTAGGTGAATGTGGCATATGTTGAAGCAGCAGAGCACATAACAGAACCTGTTAATAGGGAGCCTCCCTCCAGAGAAGCTCAGTTACTGACTTTGCAAAACACATCTGAATTTGATATCCTTGTCATTGGAGGAGGAGCAACAGGAAGTGGCTGTGCACTAGATGCTGTCACCAGAGGTGAGTCCTGACGTAGATGGATGTTTCATCCCTCCTCCCCAATATAAATACAAAATATGCACTCTATAAGGAGCCCTGGCGGTGCAATAGTTAAGCGCTGGGCTGCTAACCAAAAGATTGACAGTTCAAACTCACCCAGCGGTGCAATGGGAGAAAGACCTTGTGATCCACTCTCATAAAGATTTCAGCCAAGAAAACTGTATGGGGGCAGTTCGACTCTGTCATACGGGGTCATTGTGAGTCGAAATCAACTTGACGGCACCCACCACCAACAACATGCACTGTATGCTAGTGAAGGCACATTTGTGTTTGTATTTCCCAGTTTTCCATTCTTCACAATTTTTTTATATACACACTTGTACTTTTTTTTTTTTATTGTACTTCAGGTGAAGGCTTACAGAACAAATAGTTTCTCATGAAACAGAAGTACACATGTTGTTTTATGACAGTGGTTAACAACTCCACAACATATTAACCCTCTTAACTTCTCAACCTTTTTTTTTTTTTTTTTTGGTGAAAATACACATAGCCAAAGGTACACAATTTCAAAAATTTCTACATGCACAGTTCAGTGACATGGACTACACTCTTCAAATTGTGCTGTTATTCTCACTTGAGATGAAGGCTTATAGAACAAAATAGTTTCTCATTTAACAGTTACTACAAATGTTGCCCTATGACAATGGTTAACAATCTCACAACACATCA